CTGAGCCAAGGATTTTGCTTTGACATATTCCAGGGATGCAGAGAGCGAAAATGAGCGTAACCTCTAGAGTATCGAGGATTGACTTATGATGAAGGAAACAGTTAAACGCATCAGAACTAGACCGTGATCTGATTGCTTAGTTTAGTTTGGTTGGTAGAGCATTCCTTAACAATTTGAGAAATCTGAGCTCGAATTCCAGCCAGGTCCATTGCAGTTTCAGCGTTTAAATTAAACTGTTCCATATATGTTTTGTGTTGTTAGCTTTTCCTCTTAATTTACGCTACTCCATACCATTTGCTGCATAATTGAGAACCCTTTCAGTTTAGATGACATTTCAAAATTAATTCCTAGTCCATGATATTTCACAACACGTATCGCTCCTGCTATTTAAAACCATAACATGTATCATAGTAAAATTATGAAGGAAAGAAAGGTGTTTGTTGAAACATTTCTTACGATCTCATACTGCAAAAGTGGAAATTTTGGCGTGTGGAAATTTTGGCGTGTGGTCTCTTCAAACTGGTCGCAGTAAGGAGACTTTGTGTTTGCAATGGTTATGAAATCAATACCTATTAAATGATATGCACGAAATCTGTATTTCTATATACATATATCGCGTGTGGGTAGCTTCGCGGTAATTTACTCAACGCGAAAACGCGTGTATTTCCACACACCGCGATCATTTCCACTGTAACAGTAGTAGGACTATGAATATGAATGTCATCTTGGTAACGTTTCATGTTTCAAACTGCTCACGAAAAAAATATTTTTAAGCAGGAATGCAAGTGTGTCTTAAGTGATAAACATGAAATCCTTGGGTGTTAGACAATGACCAGAGCTAACCTAACCTTGACCATTACGTAGGTGCATCTATCTGAGATATATGAAACCTATTTGTTCAATCGTTAAAGGACGTGGCATTGATGTCTAATTCAAGGGCAGATTGATTATGACCGACAAAATTATATTTAAAGATCTAGTCCGGACACACGGGTAGCAAGTTGCCTGTGTACACATAAACAGATACTTTTATAAAAATATCTATTTGAAAATATAAATGTAATCTATATTGATTGAAATTTCGCTTTTAAGTTTAGGTATTCTTAAAAGAATTAGAACCAGCTACTGTGTTACTTGTTCAAAATAAACATATATTTATAATAGTTAATATACTATGCTAAACTTCAATAATATGTTATAAGTATATTTTACGCTTCTATATATGTTTTCGTATATATGGGGCAAAGAAGTAATTCCAACAGTGTTTTCGTATATATATATATATCACAGTGTCAAAGTTTAAGTGTAATTTATCCATCTTTTAGTATTTTCTTCCAATTAGTATTGTTATTTTCTGACAACACCAAAATGATTGGCATTTGGGTAGCAGGAAACAATAATCTTTCACTGTTCACTTATGCATACTAATTAAAGTAAAATCAGTACCGCCGATTCAATGCTTTTCGTGGACTTGGTCTTCATCGACCAGATTATCGCTTCGTTTTTTAACTATATGCAAGTGCGTTTTTTCACAGAACAATTCACCTCAAAAACAAATATTCTGAATGAGGCAGAAACAGTTGTTTTATTACCTTTCGAAATGTTAACATATACTATTTTTTATTTGAAATGACGTTTAATATTTGGACAATGTGCCTTCCTGGAGCAGTGCATTTCGCGTTCTCATGTAAAGTATAATACACAATATGTATACGATGCTGTGTTGTTGACAATACCAACGTGTCGAGCATCGACGTGACACTCCTAAATCATCCTTCTGACCATGCCCTATCTCCACTGAACCACTCAAGAAGTACGACAAGGATGGGACACTTAGTGGATGATACGAACCTCCTCGCTCATTGGGGTTATCATAGCAAGGTGATTACACTGATAACAGACAAGTTCTACAGTCAAACACAGCAACGATGTCATCGCTAACATAATAAAAACACCTTACGATTCAATGGTAATGGTATTATCATCACGTTCACCTCCACGCGGCGTTAGCTGCAGACAATCTTGTATTATTTTTTATACCTAGTTCCTGGGAACAGAAAAATCATTAGACTTAATAATGGCAGAATGTTTTTATCTTCCTGATTTTAGATGCTTTATCAAATGATCTGCCAATTATTCAGTGTAAGAACACGACCCCTGTCAGATCATTTTGTACCTATTATTAAAATATAATTGAAAGACTATTATGGCGGCTTTATTATTTATTTCTAATTTCAAGCGTAAATTATTTCCTCGTGATTAATATTGTATACTGGGACATTTTCGCCGCAGTTAAACTTTCTCCTTTTTCAACCACAACAATGAGGGCGTATTCATCATGACAGAGAATATCAGTATACAGCGTACCGTATACAGTAATGACATGTTAAGGGCGAACGTTTCACTGGGCGAACATACATTTTACCGGTAAAGGGCGAATATTTGACTAGGCGAAATTTCCTGGTATACAATAAACTCTAAAATTAGATATAGCGAGAGAAAAAAATCTTCTACACGAACGAGAAAGAGGAAACTATAATTCAAATGATAAGAGATAGCAAATAATTAACATGCAAAATGTATTCAAATGTATTGGTTATATCCTTATGCTGACAGTAACAAAAAACGAAATATTTGAAATTGTCTTCTGTGAACAAAATTTAGCCGAAACGTTAACAAATAAATTATATTCCATTTATTCTTTCTTGAGTGAAAGACGAGGCCAATTTTTTGGAGCAACGAATTGGGAAAATTTATATAGAATATATGTAATACATTTTGTCGTCCAGAATTCAGACACGTGACAATTTTTTTTAAAATATTTAAATTATTTGTTGTGGCTGGTAAAGAACGTACCAATGTGACCCTGACCCTGTAATACATGTGCTTGACCAAGTTTAACAAGAGTGACCATGGCCAAATATAGAACTTATCATTGAAAACTTCAAGATACCAGTAGATAAGCATTACTTTTAAACGTTTTGAATCCTTACTATGGAGTTATACTTGGCATTTTACCAATCTTATGCTTCGTATCTTAACAACAACAAATTAATGAATAAAAATTAAAAAAATAAAAGCCCAGAAGATTGTTTTGAATTGTAACCTGCTATTATACTATTGGAAGGTCAAAAAAAGCAAACTAGAAGTAAGTGACAATCTTACATTAGTTATGTCCCTCCTTTGTGTCTTTTCAAAGTTATGACCTTTGAGGCATTGAGTACATGTAGCTAACTTTTATCAAGAAACCATGATAAAATGTAACTCATCAACGTAGATTTACATCATGATGCATACTAACTAAAGAGACATCCGAGTTAACAACTGCGTCAATAAAAATGTATTTAACAAGTCAAAATCTGTCAAAGAAGAAACATGTTGATCATCTCTATTTATGGTTGACAGCCGATCTACGAGATAAGTAAACATGTTTAAGTCTGAAACTTTAAGTGTTTATCCATCAACAACATATTCATATCTTCAATCATCAATATAAATTATCAATTCTAATAGAAATCAAGGAAGCATCTATTTAGACATTTAGCAAGGTGAGCATTTGTAATTGTATCATATGATAATTTCGTCAATTAAGGACAAAAAAGAGATACTGGATATTAAAAACAATTAAATCAATGTCTAAAGTGTTTCTTAACATGCAGATATACAGAGTAGGACAAAATGTTTATAAAACACCTTTTAACATTGAAAATATAAGATCTGTCTCGTATATTTAAAAAACAAAATGTTCTTAATGTAGAGTAGACTGGGGTGGGGGGTGGGGGGTCAGAGCGTCATTTTGTTGGAAGGTCGTCAATGTTTGGAAAGGAATCGCTGTTTCTATCAATACGTCATTCGTTATTTGGTCAGTTCTGTTGATAAATGACCATTTCAGGTCACAAGCACTGCGATACGTTTGAAACTACTGGAATCACCTTGGTACTAATCTAATGAATGATCCGGTGACACACTTACCGTATGACCAAGTCATTTTCAATAATGAATTGTTAACTTTAACATTGTATGGTGACAACAACGCTTACTAGGAGAAACAGATGAGAACTTTTGATAGCTTTATAGGCTAAATGTATTCAGAAAAATATGATAATTAGTAACTTATTACAGTGTTAATGCTGAAGTTAAATACTTTCATAGAAACCCCGAGTTAACAGTTGAACCTTTTGGAAGTGATAAAATGTGATGAGAATTTTGTTTTTATTCTAATTTTGACAATAAAATATCACGGGGAAAATGAAAATCAAGTGGTTTACCTATAATTAGTCGTCAGAACAATCCTACCAAAAATGTTTTAAATAACCTGTTAACATATGGAACTTTTTATTGCTTATCCATCCATATCGATATATTTATTTATTGTTGGAAATCATGTTAGATATTGATCGAACTTTAATAGCCAGTATGCCATTTCTTTTCCATCATATCCATGAACACTTTGCTTTATGAACTGTAATTTTTCTAATATTCATACATGTTTTTGAAATAAATATCATACTCCAAGTAAAGTAAGTAAACACCAAATCTGTCTGGGGGTGTGTCATTTTATAAAAACAGACTTGGGAGTGTGTCAGATTTAGGTCACTTTGTTAGAAGGTCGTCAGTGTTTGGAAAGGAGTTGTGGTTCCTATCAAAATGTCATTAACGCTTTGGTCACTTCCGTTGATAAATTACCGTTTAAGGTCACAGTCAACTCAATACGCTTGGAACTTTGGGGGGAGGAGTACCTTGGTACCAAGCTCTTAGCTAACCCAGTGACACACTTTCCCCCATTGCCCAGTTGCTTTTGCCATATCAATTAAGACTACTCAAAGGTATAAATCAACATTTAGGGAGATATTCATAATGTTATCAGTGCGCCCTGGAAATACAATCTGGATGTTATCATCCAACAGGTCGGGCTCAGGCAGGTCGACCTATCTACGGGGACACTATTGATATATAACGCTATCATACGCGCTACTACACTTCATTCTGAAAAATCTTTGTCGACGGAGTTATCATAATGGAAACTACACAGACAGTTCTGTGGGCTGCACTGTTCTTAATTGCATTAATAGGTAAGTCGACATGCGTCGTGAATATATACATTAATTAATTATTTTGTATTACTTTATATTGTCATATGTTAATTCCTGTTTTGATTTGCTTTTGTATTTTTTTAAATTTCAAGGCAATATAGAAAGACTTAATGTCAAGTGTATAATAATTTTAAACCTAGCTAGATGGCTTGGGAAAAAACCTTTTTGTAAATATACATTTTAGAAGATGTTATATCAGTTGTGTAGTTATCTCAAAATTAAGACATCGATTACTATCAATGTTGGAATAGAAATAGCAATAAATCATATATGCAGAAGCATAATTCAAGTAATTGCATCAATTACATAAAAAACCCATAAATGGGTAAATTACAAATCAAACAACGAAAAAGGAATAATACATAAAAAAATTCAAGAATTGAAAATCCCGAACACAAGAACGTATCAAAAATAAGCGTGTAATTTTTTAAAACAAATTCTTGGGATTTCAATTAATTAAATTCTTTTGCATGAGAAGCTCTTTAACGTCTCTTTAAAGTTTGTGTGCGTGTGACTGGTAACTTTTCTTCAGAATTTAAAACACTGTTTCACAATTCAAAAGTTAATTAATATTCACATGGTAAGATAACAAATCCTTTTTTATGTGTACAATCTATAGGGTATGCAGAAGCCAATTAAGTCACAAATTGTTTTTCTGGAACTTAAGAAGCAGGAAAGGACAACAGCACACCATGAAACATCTCTTTAGATAAGAAATGTTATCAAGGTTTGTTTAGTGCAGCCACGTGTAATTCTACACGACTCTGCGATGCACGACCTCTCATCTTTGTCAGAATATCGATTTGTTATGCTATTGTGTTTCTTGATGATGTAAGTGTCCTGATTAAAATGTCCAGGGGAGCTCCCTACTACACTTTGCATAACAACTTAGTTTACATGTGCTAAGGGTTTGCGTCCTATTGTTCAGATGTTCAACTCCAGCGTATCGTTGTCGATATTTTTTTTTTATCTGTCGTTGATAATATTGCTTTCTTTATCAAGCTCTTTTAACTTATCAATGGATGACGTATGACGCGAAAAGTTCATATGACGCTTTGATATATTTATTTTCCTTGTGGTAGGGAAACACGAATTTTTGTTTCTCAGAGATTTATCATGTTTCATGAGGGCGAAGCGAAGCACTCGTGAAACATGATTGATTGAGGAGAAACAAAAAATTGTGTTTTCTTACCACAAGGGCAATGGCTGCTAAAACATCAGTAACGCAATAGCAAAGATGGTCAAGTTGACGCGCCATTGATGTCGCCTGCTTCAGTCACGCGGAACTCTTGGTTGTGGTAGCTCTATAACCGTGGAAACTCAAGCGCATGATGACGATGATCTTTTATTTTCCCGTTAGGATATCAATAAAATCCAATCAGTATAATAATATAATTTATTCCGTGTTAAAAAACGTAATATCGTATCTGTTAAAGCTTCATGTTCACCTGCCTGTTAAGACTAATACTGAAATCGTTATTTCCTGCAAAGTAATCCTGATAGAATCTTACACTAAGCAAAACAGTCATCCCGTATTGAATTCGTCACCACTTTTAATGCAAACGCTTATCCTTCCGGAACACCTGGTCTTATTTAACTTACTTATACTTTTTCAAATATATGCAGTTAAAATGTATTGAACATTAGTCTTGCAAAACAGTAAAACTAACATCCATGTTTTCTTGGAATACATTACTCGTTTTATGCAATTTTATTTTTTACACAAGTGGATAAAATAAAATATAGGTCTGCCGTAAAATAGTTGAACCGCAGTGTCCATTTTGGAGATGACATATAGAGTTAATCCTAATATTTGTATCTTGACTTTACAGGGCTTGTAGCAGCGGATTCCCCTTTTGCAGGAAGAGTGTCGAAAATCAGTTCCTGTGCGTCGGTCAAGCTGCTCGATCAGATACGAAATGCCAGCTGTTCCTTTGATAAAGACTTATGTAGCTATCAGAATCTTAACCATGACGCTAGATGGGTTGTGAAAAATGATAAAGTTGGAGGATTTTTCGGTATTGGAGGGACAGGACAACACACAAACAACAACGGTAAGTGGATGTATATAACAAACATGTACACATGTTTTTTCTGTCCCACTGCACTCTGGTATTACGTATATACAGGAACCCTCCCCCCCCCCCCCAAAAAAAACTCATTTGGGATACAACTGAAGCATCGATGGGTCTGGACACTTTCGTTAGCCAGGTAGCTCAGCCGGTTCGAGCGAATGTATAACAATATGAAGTCCAGGGTTCGAATCATGTCTTATCCCCGATTATTTTTCATACTATGAAAACTGTTGTTCATTATGTTTTGTTCATTTCATCTTTAATATTTGTCATAAAAGTCCCACAAGGAATGGTTTTAGTTTCAGAAAGGATTTATAAACACTATAGTAATGCCAGAAAAAACTCCATCAAATGCGTAGTGGCAGTTTTTGGCAGTGGTATGGGGATTCGTTATATAAATAATATAACATAGAAACATACATGACGAAGGAACACAATATTATGACTCGTGCCATGTCCGGGACCCGAACCCACGACCTATCGCACCAAATCGTCAAGCCGAGACATTTCCACATTCTACCACTACACCACCTAATGTTCTTTAAAACGATATTAGGTGTTGCAGTTGTCAACAGCTCAATACTCTCGACATGTTCATAGTGACAACTCATCGTTCGATTATATGAGTTCCCTGTGTAAATATTAAGACATATACAAATCTATACGGATACGAATTGTATAAATATTATTACATTTTTGACACAGCGCAAATCCGAGAGGTAGATCATGTATTGAACCTTCTGATCAAGAATCACTTTTAGTAATGACGTAGTTGTGTATTACGTGACAAGTGTAAACAGTGATTTTTGTCCACCTACACCAACAGAATAATTAATTTTACAATTTACAATTTATCAATTTAATCTATTTCAGATTATTAAGAAAAATTTACGTGTTTTAAAACAAGAATAACTTCATGACTCTATCAGCTAGACTATTTATACCAGTTACATTTAACATCTACAGACTGGATTTCATTCAAGCACCGAAGTAGTATGGCCTTTAAAAATACATACCGCAGACAGAGAAAATATGCGTCATCTTCAACAATATCATATCGTATTTTCGATGCTGTGTCCAGGGTACTTCGTTCAGCCAGACGTGAGTAACTCAAGGGCCGCAGGTGGGACGTCATTTGAACTGGCGTTACCTGAGATGCCAGTGGGGACCGTCTGTATAGACTTCTGGTACGACAAACGGGCAAAGTCCACATCAAATCTACAGGTTATCGTTGAATGTCCAAATGGGCGCAGGAATTTAGCTTGGAATGGACACACTAGCTCTAATAGTTGGAAACAGGCGGGACTACTGCTTCATATGGAGACTCAATACAAGGTATTTCATGACATGTTGTTCGCTGACATTTTATGATATGATGTTCGATGACAATTTATGATAGGATGTTCGCTGGCAATTTATGACATGTTGTTCGATGACATTTTAGGATATGTTGTTCACTGACATTTTATGATTGGTTGATTGCTGACATTTTATTAAATTATGCAATTTTCAGCTAACAATTCAACACATAAAGTTAGCGAACAACATTTACTTAATTGTTAATAATATCAGCGAATACTTTATGATTGGTTGTTCGCTGACATTAATTTGTATGATTGGTTGTTCGCTTACATTTTATGATCGGTTGTTTTCTGACAATTAAGTAAATGTTGTTAACTTTTTATGATAGAATTGTTAGCATAATTTAACAGTTTCACTCGCCGCAAAGAAGAAAGATACATGATGATTCATCATGGTATCGATTGGTAATCGGTTATCTTGATCTATATTAAGAATCTCATTCAGGAACTATTTGGAGTAAAATTTGAACAAAAATCATTTATTTCAGAACGGCAACGAACTATAATGTTTTGTTTAATGTTTATTCTTATAATATTCGAGACTCTTTTATGCTTCAGTGGAATTGAAGCGTCATTTGTGTTTTTAGAGGTGCCATTACAAATGGAAATGACAATTTCATCATTTGTAGGTGATATTTAAAATGGAAAAAGAAGACAGTTCTCACGTAACTGGATTGGATGACGTCAATGTTTACAATGTGAATTCCACTACAATACCACAAAGAAGCCAAGGCATACATTGCGAGCAGACGACACCGGCTGTGTACCTCGACGAAATGACTACACCGTCCATTCCACAAGAATTAAACGGTAATTAGTTAACTTTTTGTAATATTTTGTTATCGTGGAACGTGTAAAATGTTCAATTAGCAGGCTTTTCAATTTTACAAATAGAGTATTATCATTGGCATATGTTTTGCTAAAAGATCTGTTTGGTATGAATTTAAACTGGTTAAAAAACATTTTGTTTTATTTATGAAGTGCAATGTTTTATGCGCCCTACTTTATGATTCTAAAGGGTAACAGGTCATCTCGGCACTTGGAGAGTTCGGCACTTACGGTTCGAGATACCTCGACACTTGTTTCGGGTCACCTCGGCATTATCAATGGGACACCTCGGCACTTGTCGTTATTTTTTCGCTACTTTTCATAATAATTTCATATTTTCCCAATAACAACAATTAATGGGGTTTTTTCTGGTACAAGTACACGGAAAGAATGGTCTTCTATTTTAATTATACCAATTCATGTGTTATTTTTTTTAATTATGTTGTGTTTACATGTTCAAAACATGTACGTGTAAAGAATGTACTTCTATTGTTATTTTTGTTTATTTTATTTTATTGCACGGTTTTAATTGTGTTAAAAATATATATACGGAAGTCTAGTTGCAACAAAGTGTATGTAGAGCGTTAATTACTGTAAGTGTTTGTTTTCACATTCATGTACATATCCTGTCATCATGCACAGGTGGCTGTGATCATTAAGAAAACAACGAAGCTATGCTCATTTCAGAAACGTATTTTCTTTGAAGTTCGTAATCATTTTGGCGCACTGTATTAACTTTAAAAAAAAACCACCGCTGTAAATCAACATTTCTATTACATCAGTAGGTCATGATTAAAAAAGAATCAATTTAACCAATCAATGATGAAATTGAAAAATGAAAGAATATCGCAGGATATAAATTAGGAGCCTGTAAAATGAAGTATTACACTTAATCGAGTCCTGTCTGAGCCATCGGCAACTTGTGTTTCGTGCACCCGTGTTGTAACACTTGTGGCACTTCAGAATATGCAAGTCTATGCTTATAACACCTATAATGTTGTATGTGTAACAGGAAATGATACCGCCATTGACTGTACTTTCGAGAACAACTCCTGTTCTTGGCACCTCGGTAAAGACAGCAACTTCGACTGGCACCTTGGTGATAGCGAGGAAGCGCAAGGATTATCTGCCCCTCGATCCGATCATACCACTGGGGGTAAGACTTCTGCATTAAGGCACAAATGTTGAATTTGAAAAAACTTTTGTTCTCTATAATTGTTCTGTACAGAAATCATGAACAGGATTTCCATGGATATGAATAGATATACTATTAAATGTGTTTATGGGTGACGGGTTTGATTTGTATATTATTTTAACGTGAAAAGAAGCATACCATTTCGTTTCGACTGTCCGGTTAATAAGAAAGCATGGAATACTAAAATAGTTTACATGTTGTTTAAACATGTATGTAGTTAATATGGTGCAGTAATACTTTAGCTTTGCTTTGCTTTCTGCATGGAAGTATTAGATAGGCGCATCCTTACCTGTATTTCTATTAATACCTTTCTATTCCTAGTCTTGTAATAATAATAATTAATAATAAATATAATAATAATATACTTATAATAATGATGATATACATTCTTTATTGAAAATAAATACATGTTAAGCCATAGGCTAATAGCATCCACATTGTCCTCAAAGATCTCGTAAGGTCCTTGAGGGGTGCTCCTTTTTGAACAAGAGATATTCTGACAGGCAAACACTTCCTGTACCCTTACTAGGTGGAAGTTATGCCTACATCCGGGGGTCGGAGGTCAGGAGTTCAACTTGGAAGGCCGTACTGCAGAGTAATACTATCGACTCGGACGTGCACCTGCAGTTCTCCTTCTGGTTTATAATGAGCGGGGCTGGGGTCGGATCCCTCACCCTCTACCAGAACGTTTCCGGGGATGACAGACGTAAGGTGTGGTCACGTGTTGGCCGTCAGGGGCCGGACTGGACACAGGCGGTCATTGACCTTCCGCCGGGAATGTATACAGTGAGTTTTGCGAGTTTATTACATTGATCAGGGATGTGCCTTAACCCACCTTCTATCAACAGCAGATATTTTGACAACTTTGAAATGTTGTGCTGCGCTCGTTTCCCGCTACACGTCTTTGATTGTTTTCCGTGGACACATCCTGCTGTGAATCCAATTGAAGCTGTACAATTGTAAAATTTGATTTAAATAAGCAGTTAAAGATAGACATTTTTCATTACTACTGAAATTGCACGTTTAATTGAATAGGCTGTAGATTGTGTATATCATGTTCCCTCTCTATTCTTAAATATCTCAAATTGACCCTGTACAACTTACAAATGTTTATTTCCCTTATCGGCAGATAGGCAATTTAGAAACAGTTTTGAATTGGAGACAGGTAGTGTTCAATTGCAAATTGTGAAATGTGATCAAATCTTAAGGAAACATTTTTTTTGTGTATATAATTAGCATTTTGCTGGCTTTCGGGTACCTAAACGTCGTGAACATTTACATCTGATGGGCAAAAATGTTCTTTTTAATAAGCAAAACCAGACTTCAGTAAAATTATTTTAGGAATATTTGTACAAGGAACAAGTGATTGTTCAGAAGAATTTATTTAGAAGAATTTTACTTTATTTATAACACTGAATATAAACATATAACCATTATTTTATCTATCACACAGTTGCAGTTCGAGGCCACAACTAAGTACCACTACATGAGCGACCTGGCTATTGACGACACCGTTCTAACGAATAGTGAGTATATCTTAGATATACATGTAGCAATATAGATGTGATCACTTATGTGTGTGTTTCGTTCATATTTCATTATAAATGGTGGAAGATTCTGCCTCTAACACCGACATAAGTCCTGGAAGGACAAAACAGCTGTTTGATGCCGTGTAACTAATTTTTGGAATACTGTATCTATCAACAAGTTTTAAAGGTGCGATCGCCTGTGTGTGTTACGTTCATAAATAGACAGCAATGAGATAAAGCAAAGAATACATATTTAGTTAAAATAGTTCAGTTTTATTTGTTTACTAGGTTACAATGTAGTAACACGAAGAGTTTCTTACTAATAGCGAGTAGAGCCCAATATCAGTAATATACAGTACACAGTAATGAAATAAATAAAGAAATACATATTTAGTTACCATGGTTCTGTGTATATGTATACTTTACAGATATCATGAATAGTTATAGTATAAACGTCGTCAACGCTCAAGTACAAATGATATAACTGTAGCACTTGATGGGGCCTAAACACTTCCGCTGACCAGGAGGCTCAGTCGGTTAGACACTCAGAATACCATTGTTGATTATGTCTTGTTTATTTCACCTTAGCTGTCATATCAGTCACACAAGGAATGCTTTCTTTTTAGAAGTGATTCATCAACACTATAGTCATGCCGGATTTTTTTTTTCCAAAGCGTTGTTACAGTTTTCGACCGTTGTACGGAGATCCTTAAAAGAAAAACATTTAAAATTGTTTAAAAAGTTATTTAAAACTATGAAATTTTGATGGAATAAAAAACAACAAACAACACACTCACTGAAATTATTAAGCTCTCTACATTATAGCACCTATTGGTAATTCTGTTTTTGTGAGTAGCAACTGTATGTTTATATTAACACATATGGCAGGTTTCAGATATTCTTCTTTTATTATAACAATAATATTATAATTTAGTTACTGTGACTACAACTACTGCCGCTCCTACCACCACCAAACTGACTCCCGTGCCTCTTCCCATATCATGTGACTTTGAGGTGAACACGTGCGGGTTTTTACCACCAGTGACAGATCCCGGCTACGTTCAGTGGGAGAGGACGTTGAGTCCACTGACAGTCCTCAGTCGGGTGTACGTCACAGGGGACAACACGACAGGCTCAGGTAAAATGGCTACTTAAATACGTCACAGAAATGTGAATCAGGTCAACTAACAAAATATACCATATCCTTCACAGCGCCAACACACAAGTACCAAATATATACTACACAACGCACAGCACAAACCCTACATCGTCAACACACATTTACAAATCTCACCACGCATCGTCATTACACAAGTCAAAGTAAACTACAGGATGTCACTACAAAATGAAAAACCACTACACAGCGTCAACACATGAAGACAAAATCCAAACTCAAAGTCGTCAAGAAAAGACAAAAACAAGACACAGGCAAACAATATGCGGATGACAAAATTGACTTCTACGATAAATATAATGATATTACATTGTGTAATATTTCCCCAGATTTATGTTGTTCTTTTGTCATGCAGGTCACACGTAAGATGTTAAAGTCTTACCCGGTTTAATTGTTTACGAAGGTTCAATAAGTTCCTAGATTACTTATTTTAATGACCTGTTGATTTTTCTTTGCACGTCGTGTGCAGAACAAACAAAATTTAAGACGTTTCTGTTGTGGGTTTGTAAAGAATAGGTCTCCTTGGTTCTACAGGTACGTTTTTGTCCCTACAAGCCATGAGTGCCGAGGCACACCGCGGTGACGTAGCGTCTATCGTGTCCCCAGCTCTGGAGCCACAGACAGGGGCCTGTCTCCGCCTTGCCTACATCATGCCGAGTACGCTGAGTGGTACAATAACCGTGTTTAAGAGACAGGTACGGACGGGAGAACTACATTTGCTGGAGCACCTAAGCGGCTACTACGGTCCACACTGGCGAAGCCTACAAGTCGACTTGTGGAGTGATACACCTTTCCAGGTATTGTGAAACAAGCAGTCTTTCCTACTTCGTACATTTTTGATTGGTGACTATTGTCGTATTTTGTAGGCATACGCGCCCTTTTAGAACCTGGATGTCATTCTAATAATGTATTTAATAGATGAATATAAATTACGTGTTAGGTCTGTATTTGCGGGTTTTTTTTCTTTCAAAAATCCAATATATAAGTATAATATTTGTTACATTTGGTCAGTTGGTTCAGTTAGTTCTATATGAAAAATCCAAAACTTGGTTGAGCATATTGACTGATATTTATAATGCATGTGTGAACATTTTACAGATAGAAATAAAAGGATCTTATGCTGGAGAACCAGGTGCAGTCATCGGGGTCGACGATATGTCTTTGGAAAATAATCCATGTACGTATGTAAAAGAATATTGATGTTGTGATATGCATCCTTGATGCTAATGAATCAAGCCGTCTTGTCTTTGTATATCTGCTTCTCCGTCGACGCAATTTGCACCATCGATCGATCTCTGTTAGTGTCTACATTTACAGCCCATTATTGATATCAAGTGACATGTTTAGATCAATCTATTGCATGCCTGATGTTCAAATCTTCTTGATTAATTAACTCTTCAAAATGTGTAAGCGAAACATTATCATCTATGGTTTATAAACCATACCACATTCCAAAATGTACATCACATATGCTATAACCAAGACTTATCTGAAAACAAAATATCTGTATAAGTTCTTTGTTTTTATTTTTATCCTGACGTAAAATGAAAAAAACAAATATTTAAAACCCTGTTGTATCTGCAGGCCCAACAACTACTACATCCACTACAACGACAACTGCTCTCCCTTTACCTCCATTCGAGGTTGGTCACATGTGTGATGCTCACGACGAACAAGATATTGCTGATATGTCGTGCTCATTCGACTCGTCTGTGTGCTCCTATTCCTCTGTCGGGGACAAATTGCAATGGATTCAACTCAACAACTCTTATCACGTCATTCCAGGAGGAAAGACAGGTACAATAAAAATTGTCTTATGAGACTAACTAGGGGAGTACAGAAAGTGACCGCCGTATGCATGTGGTCTTTTAACACAGTTGGTCTCTTAATAGAGTTGCTTACGTAACCAGGTTTGACTGCACTGTAGTCATCGTTAAACAACACAAGAATAATGAATATATTAAGATAAAGGGTATCAACAAATTAAACTATAGAACTTACCATTGTCACTATTATAAGTGACCCTTTCAATCGAAATACTTTATAAGAATCACATGTCGCTATGCAGTTGAAGGAATTATAGTTGTGCGAAATTTGTATTTTTTTAAAAATAAAAATGAAAAAAAATAAAAATAAAAACTGGAAAACAGCTGGGGTCAAACTCGGTTCCTTTACACTTAACCAATGTTTTCATACAGGAATAATACAACAAACGAATTTAAGAGCCACAAACCGTATGCAAATCTTGAAAGGGGAAGTTACTCTAAGCAAGAAAAAACTCCCGTTGGTTTCTACATCTTTTATATGGACTGGCTTATACTCCAAGGTAAAAAAAAAACACCACTTTTCTGGTAAAGCTTTAATTGAATTAATATTTTGTCCTATCTACAGGTCCGTATATTGTCCTTGACACTGCAAAAATATCAACGCCACATGGATCTATCGCTCAGTTGAAAAGTCCCGTCTTCAATGGTTCAGATGTTTGTTTAACGTTTTGGTACATCAACCCATCCTTGTCCTCTAATTTGGGGGTCTGGCTGGAGTTCACTTCCGGTGTGAAAACCATGATCTGGTCAACAGACGGACATGAGCATTCCGACTGGCAAGCTGTCTCACTCTCTGTTAAAACAGAAACTGCCTACAAAGTATGTATACTGACTTCTTTGTTTATCGTAATTAAGATATCTGAGCCTTATATTTTCTGCTCCTTTTACAAAATATTCATCTCTATCTTTTTTTGTATGTTAACGGGTTTATGTTGGTACAGTTATATGGGTATAGTGAAATTTACCAATGCTTTTTTATATCTTATACAATTATCGTAACATGAACATAGCATGTCAATATGTTTGCCACACTGCTAACGATGGTCTTGAGTTGTGGTCTGGAAAGTTGCTCGGCATGCCGTTTCGTATTTTAATGTCTGCCAATAGTAGCATAAATGTAAATGTTGCTTTTTAAAATCAGAGGTTACGACATCAAAATGCTCAGATTTTATTTGATTTCCCAAAGACAGATGTTTTTTTGCAAAACGGCAATGTATTGTATCGGATATAAGGTGAAAGAGATTACATTATTCCAGCATAGTTTCACTTAGCCAAATGTTTTTTAATTAGCAGGAATGTTTTCAGATGTCGTTATCACATTTTTATTGTATCTTCAGCTGGTGTTCCAGTCGAAAAAAACAGACACTTTTGGGCCAGTTGGGATAGATGAAATAAGCGTATTTGAATCTTCATCAGGTAATATTTTGTTAAGATGTATAATCTTTGAAAGTGTGTAATATAAAAACTTCAAAAATTCGTTCTTAAAATTCTATTTAATGCAAAAAAGTTCAGTTTGTTGTCATCGACATTTCATTTGCTGATGTAATTAAAAATATTTTTTTTTTAAATTGAAATATAATTTAGGGACCTCAAAATCAATTAAAGGTATATATTTCGACATATTCTGATGAGTGGGGAGTGTTTATAAACGTGTTATGATAGACATCAATGATAGGTCAAAACATACTTTGGCAGTTCATACGCCTTCAACGTCTAATAACAATCCCGACACATCAAGATAGGTCCTAGTCTCACCCTGGAATTTTTTATCATGTCCTTGTGTAATAACATTTCCGTTTCGCGTGGAATGATGTTTTTGAAATGCATTTTCACAATGCTTCGTGTATACAAGCATGTATTATGCTACGCTGCTAATATGGATATTTTTCTGGATATTTGTCTATTGGGATACACGTGAAAATGTGGCAGCCAATCATTCAGATCTAGATCTCGTAAACAAAACATATAAACCAAGCATGTGTCTTAATTCACAGTCATAGCATTGCCGTCGTCCACAACCACACAGACAACTTCTACAATCAGAGCCTCCGAACCATCGACCATTCAACCGAGAACGACGTCTCCGTCTGCTACAGTTCGGCCAATGTCCGATTTAGTAACGTCATCGTCAACAACATTACCAACGCCATCTTCAATATATCTACCAAATACTACCGTCAACATCTCAGAAGGGATTTTAACGTCAAAATCTGTTTCAACGCCACAAGTATCAAAACACACAATATTACAAACATCTTTCACGAACACCTCCCCTGTTTCATCTAGTACAAAACAAGTGACGTCACCTTCAACTGTATCAGTGACGTCATTATTTAAAAGCACTTCGACACCATCAACGACGGTGTCTACATCTGCAAGTACATTGACGTTGACGTCAACTTTGGCAAAGACTGTGACATCACAAGCGCCAAATATTGCAACGTCACCTAAAACAAAAACATTGGTGCCATCTGTGTCTGAAACTGTCACGTCAGATAATTCAGGGAATTCTAAAACCACAGAGGCGAGTTCCAATGGAAGTAGCAATGAAAAATCAACTGACAGCAGCATTAGTATGGAGACGAAGGCCTTAGCGATAGGGTTCAGCGTTTCTGTATTCGGTATCTGTTCTGTTGTGTTAGCAGTCTACCTTCTGAAAAAGAATCGAAAAGTGACGAACCAAAAGGACAAAAATGTTCCAATGCATGACATTAATAATAAAAACATCAAAAGCCAAGCTGGAAATACAACCAGCCAAGTTTCATCAGTTGTAAATGTAGTCGGGTATAAGAAACTAGATGTATAGATTTAAATGCACAATATCAAAACATCAATGTAAGACTGAACAAAGAATGTTTCTTATGTTTGCGTGTTTAAAATCCATTGGGACATCCACCATGTTACGAAACATAAAAAACAATTTCTGCGTGTTTAGCTAAACGTTTAACGTGACCTTTCAGCTATATGTTTCTTGTTTTATATCATCTAGGTGTCGCATTTGCGAAAAGATCAAGATCTGAGAATATATCGCCATAGTTAAGCTACCGAATGAACAACGATTTACATCATATGTTTTAGAAGTTTTATAGCGCATCACCATAAACTACTATATTTATTGTCATACACGATAGCTTTAAGTCATGATGCCTCAACCCGAGACTTCTGACTATTGTTTTGCTTTTTTTAGCAGTTCAGTAATTATAATTATTGATGGGGTCGAGGATTATTGATGTTTCATTGGGTTATTTTAGCGGGAGTAATTTTGTTGCTTTGGCACAATCGCATGTTGTTTTGAGGTAGTAACAGTTTGCATCTTCGTCTATTTGTTCCGTTTCTCGGAACATACTTTACATGTACGCTAATATAGGGATATCATCCGAGTGTATCGAACTGAACCGAAAATATCTAATAGAGTGGGTAATGCAAATAGTTATGTTATATAGTCGCAAAAATAAATAGATAAATGAAGAAAAGGTAATTTTCAAAAACTTAGATAACAATACTTTTTATCTTTTATAATTCAATGTAAGGATAAAATCGCCACTTGATGTTTTGCTATCCAGTGTAAAATATTGTTTGATTTAAGTTATTAAGTGTACAAATCAATTAATAATTATATTGATATCGTAAATCGTGTATAACATGAACTTATACAGTTGTTTTGAAGATTACCCATAAGTACAGATATGCTTTTTCTATAAAATAGAAACTATTTATTCATTTATTAGCGTATTTATATAAATACTGTTAATGCTCCTTGAATTGTCATACCGAAAGAGATCACTTCTTTGTAAGGGTGTGAATGTTTATTTATCTGAATGAACGCATAATTTGATAATATTATCTTGGTAACAATATGTATATATGATTGTAGTAAAAGTTTCAATGACTACATGTTTAGTTACTGAATGGTTCAATACAATAATTTTCTTAATATTAATGATAGAATTAAATTTCCCAGCTTGTATATTGTCTACGTCAGTAGAAGAATGAGTGCTTTTTGTTTTTATTATTGATATCAATAAAACAGTTTTAGAAGTGTAATGTTTATGTTATTGTATTTCTATCATTAACTCTTTTATTGAGACGTGTAGTCTACCGCCATACCTTGTAATTGTAGGCGTCGTGTTCACGTTCAGTTAGTAAGCTAATAAGTATGGTGGATTGTTCAATGAGTTCACATTGACCTACGACATGTTTTTGCTTGACAATTGTAAAACAATAACTTGGTTCCTTGGGGAATGTCACTGAATTAAAAATAACTACGTATATCGTTAACATCAATGCTATATATAATCTCTTGGAGTTTTATTTGATTTGACGAATTCTAGTTTTATCATATCTATGTGGATAAGAAAACAAAATCTTTTAAATCCTCACAAAACAAAAAGGTCGTTTTGGTTGGAATATAGGGGAAGTAACTCGTGTGTCCTAGATACGAGGGGAACAGATATAAAGAGATCATCGTTTAAAAATCTATAAAAAAAGTATATAGGCTAAAACTCTTCCGTAAGAACTCGATTTATCTACGTTCATTTCTTAGCCGGAATAGAAACATAGCCATATGCTACTAATATTGTTTTTATTACAGTCAAACTCCAATATACGAATCGACAAAGTCCAGATTCACCCAAACCCCAATACTGAACATTGTACCACTGAAACAAAAACGTAAGTAAGAGAACTGTAAAACGTCAACATGAAACTATGTTTTAGTTAAACTGAACATTGTAACACTTAAACAAACAAACAAAAATGTCAAAACACAACAATGTAAAACAGCAGATCATCTTCGTCATACATTGGACAAATGGCATACAGCGTGCAAGTACGGACGCCATGAGAAATACTCAGCACACCAGTACAACAGAGACATCAAGATGACACATGATGTCATGGAAACATAACAATTTTCCTTAAAAGAGAAAAGAAGGGGCAAAAGAGAAATAATAAAACTGTAATGATGCTTAACTTTTTAGAACCTACGACTTGTATTTGAAGGATGATATAGCTGCGGGGACCGTAGCGTCTACCCGATCGATTTTTTTATTTTTTCATTTTTTATTATCGGTCCATGGTCATCGGGCCTAGAAGAATCGAACGTTCATAGAATAGCATCCAAGGGAGAAAACTCCTCTTAACTAGAGCACACAAATTCATTCAAAATATACTATAAACGATGGCCGAGAGCGGCCGGACACTTTTCATTCCTTTTATGTTCAAAAGTGTACTATGGTACATTTTTGCATGGTACACATTTAAGTGTGTATTTGTCCCTCATTTACAGCCAAAAGCGGCCACTGGTTACACATTTTATAACATAATATCTACAAAAGGTTTTCATTGGAACCGTTGTTAATTAATTACTCCTGACTTGTCGAATGACGGCGGGGAAACAGGTCTGTTGTTTTTATCAACATAGCCGCGGATTTACCACCAAGTACTTAATAGGTTATACTTACATTATTGTACAGTATACTCAAGCCACTATCGTTGTTCCCGGGCCAAAAGCACGGAATTTAGAAACACAATGTTAAGATGATTAAACAGGAAAGGGGCACCGTACAACCACCAGTCGTATGCATATGTGATGTACTATATATTTATATCAAATAACAATGATAACAATACTGGGGAAATTATCCCACTGAAAACATTGTTTCTTTTATAATATAGAGCTGAAAAAAATAATGTTGTTACAAACTGTAGATTACAATGATGTTTTATATAAATTGATTCTGTTTCCCCTTTGGGTACCCACGGCCATCTGATATTCTTCTACACAAAATGTCATTTATCAACCGTTGGCCGCTTTCGGTCATCTAAAAGTGAACCATGGTACACATTTGACTGTAAAACTGAATAAAAGTGTACCACACAAAGTGTACCCTATGATACACTTTTGTACATAAAAGTAATGAAAAGTGTCCGGCCACTATCGGTCGCTAGAGCTAAAAATGTACATATTTGATCACTTCTATATTCAAAAGTGCACCTCACAAAGTGTACCATGGTACACTTTAGTTTATAAAAGTGATAAAAATTGTACCACCAAAATGTGTACCATGGTACACTTTTGAACATAAAAGTGATAAAAAGTGTACTCTGCCAAAATGTACCATGGTATCCTTGTAAACATAAAAGTGATCAAAAATGTACTTTTCAAAAGTGTACCATGGTACACTTTTGAACATAAAAGTAATGAAAAGTGTCCGGCCGCTCTCGGCCATCGTAACTATATCATACTTAAACTTCTATTAATTCTAATGACTAGAATGTTTTGTTAATACAAATGTATATAATCTTCAGACAAAGATTTCTTTGCTCTAAATATCGACATCAATTAAATTGTAATGTAGCTTTTTAACTTTTTTTATGCAATGAAAATAAATTTGGATAATATTTATAAATATAATAGAAAGTACTGAACACGAACTTATGTAATGCTGTCACGAACATGTCTTAATTGATCATGAGCTACGTTTTGTCATCAAACGAAATATATACACTGGTCACGTAAAAAAAAAATCAAAATATAATACCGAGAAGTATTACGCCTGTGTTCACAACCTGGCTTTGACAAATATACTTCACGCAAGATTATTGGTTAACTTTACCTGTTGTATTCAAGCATATTTGAACCCTGGGGGGAGTCATACTCTTCAGAAAATGCCATACCCTTATCTGGTTCCTGTTTGCCTCCCTATTTAGGTTTGGTTATTTTGGAGATAAGCTTTCCCGGTAGCAGCCAGACCCACCTGATAAGGTTCAATAATCCTGGTCCTACACAACCGGCGTGTATGGCATTGGTTTGTGGAGACTCACTCACCGGGACAGGTTCTGCCATCTGTGTTTCGGGAGATAAATTGAGAAATTTCATTATTTAGAAAACATTACACAGAACAAGTAGTAAAGTCCTGATAATTTGTCGGTATAAACTTTATATTGTGGTCAGCATCATCATCCCATGGGGATTTTTTTTTTTTTTTGTTTCTTTTTTTTTTTGTATATTTTGCTCATTGATGTGCCTTGTTGTATTGTTGTTACTACCCACAACCTCAGTTTGGGGACATGTCATTACTTGGATTGGACAATTCTTTTCAAGACGGGTGTCCTCGACGAAGTAGAAGACGATTTCTCTTCCGGAACATCTGGTCTAAGTCTCTTTTCACTTATGAAGTCACCACGTAAAAATGTCATTTACTTTATGTTGACTTTGAGTTTGAATTAGGGACTTCCTCACGCTTCATTTTCTTCTGGTTATTGTTTACGCAAAACAATTTAACAGTGATATTCATTATCAAAATATTTTTTAAAAAGAATATGAATATATTAATAAAAAAAATTAAACAAAAATTAAACAAAACAAAAAAAGCGCTGACCACCACCTATTACTTCTGAACCTAATTATCATTTTTGATTCACATCCATTTCCCGATACCGTGAAACCTGACTGAAGCGACACTTTGTTTAAAAGACGTACATTAATATTAGACATGTTGTATTGATATATGGCTGGTTTTTACACTAAAACACATATCCAACCACGTGTTTTGGTACCCTTTGATATTGTCAGGGTTCACTGTGATTAATTAATAGCTTTATCTAAATTGCTCACATATAATAAGCATATTTAAGAATTTTGTGAGAAGCGTTAAAGTAGAATTCTATTAACCGAGTGCAATAGGTGAGACATTTTGTCAATAATGGTTCTAGGTAAACCATTGATCGGGACTAGCGGCTCCTCCGGAGTGATTGACGCGCATTCAATAACACGACCTTCCCTTCGATATGATATTCATTTCCATTTAATATGATTCAATAGTTGAACAGGCACAGAGGTACTGGGCAGACTTAATAAGTTCGTTTTAAAGAAGATGACATTGAATACATTGTAAGAACATTGACTCGCATGAGTGGATACCTTCTTCGGTTTGGTGGTGTTATGGACAGAGGGATAGTGGGACTTTCTCGTGTGGGAGCTGGTCTAACGCTGGTTGCGAAGGAACGGCGATATGATAGTGGGATGTTTGTACAAATACACCTAGCCTCTGATATAGGCTGTAAATGAACAGACATATGTATTTGTGCATATATATATATGTCTGAATTTCATCCGTAGTTTATATAAAGTATAATATGACTTTATAAGGTGCTAATAATATCATATCTGCAACTTGGATATACCCAATCTGTTGCCACAAGCGTATTTGTCGGGGAGAGACAGGAACCACATTGTCAAGTAAGTGATTAACTGTTTAATACAGTATAAGACGCAACTCAATTTTGTTTTGTTCCATCCAATGCTTGTCTTTAGTTATAAAGTAAATTGAAGGCAACTAGTAATACGTGCAACATACAACGAAAAGCAAGTGTGAATTTAAACAATAATCATATATGTTTCAACTAAAACAAAAGTCCAATATCCTGAATTCTAGCGACTGGATGGGCACAAAATATGGACAATCATATCATCTTCAGACAAAGTGTTTACAAGAAAAACACTTTGTCGAAAATTGTAGAGCATGGTATTCATTTCTCAGATTTACATTGTATCCAAGCCAGAAGAAGATGTGTTCTTCATTTTCTTAAACAATACACTGTTTACAAAGCCTATGTTTTGGTAAAATTATTTTGTTAGGCAGCTAGTGCCTATCAAGCCATCAATGATGTATTGTCATGGTGCTTTAAAACATGTATATATTTAAACAAAGTACAATAGACACAAATAACACAAAGGCAATACACAAAAACAAAAACCAGGAGTCGGGATCAATAAGAAACTACAATATCAGGACCTAGTAACTGATGTTCAAAAACATATTCTAATGAATCGAACCAGAAAGTTTCTGCTTAAACCCATGATATATTCTGAATAATTATCAATACTTGAATAAAAGACTTGATCTGGAATTCAACATAATCTATAGCATGAAACACCAATAAAAATCAACTCGCGGTAACAATGTACTATTATGGAGAGTTGAACAGCACTTACTCGTTAGCTCAAGTAATTTATTAATGTTTTGTTTGTTTGTTGAATTTGTTTGTTTACGTGATATAAAGTATTTGATATTAGAACATGTTAGGGTTATTACCTGGTCATGTCTTGAGACGATTGTGTTGAATCACGTTTACATTTATTTATAGGGATAAATTTCGATATATGAACATATTCCAAATTAAACATAAACGTTATATATAATAAGCCTGTCGTACGCTGCAGGCTTATCCGGTCTAGGAAACCAAGGACCTGGTACTTTCTTTGTGATAATATCCGTAAACCTGTTTACCGACTAGGTATTAAATTTTTCCGCGCGGCGATAAAAGATTTTAATAAAATCGAGATTCATCTCGCTCAATTTAACTTTATCGTCGAATCCATCGAAATATATCATATACCTTGTATATAGTTTGTTCCATTACCTTTCTAAAGCTGTATATCTTTAATGAAGTGGGTATTAACGACCTATTAGAAATGTAGAAAACCCCTTTACTAGATAACATACTAAATAACCTTTAAAAGGGCGTGTTTGAACGTACATAACACCCTGAACCAAATAGTGTTTTGGAGCTCTAGTGTTTACATTTGTTTCAGAATTTAGATATTCTGTTTTCGTGACTTATACTTTATTTCTCTATCTTTTCATATTCGCTTGGAATACATTAAAATGTGCTATTTGGCAAGTTTCCAAAAGTGTCAGTTTTGGATTGTGCGTATAATGAACATCTTGTTATTCTAACTTGCATGAAGTTGTTTTTTCTTTATCCGTTACCTAACAGCAGGTAGCACTCCAAGTAGCAGTCAAAAACTTGTCACAAAGTGCACAATCTTTATTTATTTTTGACTGATGGTTAATCATTTCATTTTTGCGGTGTTATCGTGCCCCAAAACCCTTTTTACGTTTTAGATATTGGCCGAATAACAGATGAGATGGGCTAAAATACGTGGGTTTTTTTTTGCAAAGATGTTAAAGTTGTACTTTAAATATTTACTTTATCTGGGAGAAACAAAGAAAATATTATTCTATTTAGGAGCTAAGCAGGCAGTAAACTTCGAAAACCCTTAGTCTGACAACTTTTTATACATATGACATTTGAACAAAAATTGGTTTGGTTTGTTTGTGTTTTACGTCCTATTACCAGCTATGATCATTGAAGGACGTGCCATGTTTTGGTGGCGGAGGAAAGCCGGAGTTCCCGGAGAAAAAATACCGACCTACGGCCAGTACCCGGCGATTGCCCCACGTATGCCTCGAACCCACAACCCAGTGGTGGAGGGTTAGTTGAAGCAGAATGTCAGACGCCTTAACCAATTGGCCACGAACAAAGAAAAACATTGTATAAAAAATAATGTCAATGGCATGTTTGAATTCCAGTTATCAGCTCTGGTTAGCCTACTAAAAATAGTATTTTTCGGACACCCCATACCTGACTAACCGGATGATAGACATTTTGAAAAGAAATCAGTGATCATGATAAGTAAAGAACCAGCAACAACGTCTTATAAGACAAAATGTCAACACGTATGCTTTATTGTCGAATTATGATAATTCTAAAACTGTAGCAGAAACACCATGGCCAGCAAGGCAAATCGCTTCCGCCAATGGATCAAGTGTATTCCAAGTTTATAAAGGAACTGATCGATAATGCTAAAATCAATAAAGAAGACAACACATAGAACTTGGACATTTACTTTTGAATAGCATGCAGTCTACAAATGGTGCACCCAATGAACGTAAGATACATCAATAGGGCATTGTCTTGCGGATGGATTTTAAAGGTCCTTCTTGTATAAAAATATGGATTTCTGTTTCTCGTCCGACTTTGACAGAGAACAGTACCGACCTACCCTGACAGGTATTGTTACCGGCGGATAAAATAAAACCAATGGAAACTCGCGTCAATTATTTATTTCTTGGTGCTGAAACGTCTTTCTATTTGTGTTCCATTCATTCTTATACCAGCGTGGCTTAGAATGTATTTTATGTGTCTGAAATTGATCCATTTTCCGTTCAAAGAAGAATTTGACAAAATGGAAAACAGTAACAATTATGGAACAATTGTTTTATCCGTAAATATATTAACATGTAAAATGTCTGGTATAACAACAAATGCAAGCATATCAAACGCCCTGCGATTCCAACGAAATCAGACACATCAAAAGTACGGTAGTTCCCAAAAAATCAGGCATGCAAAAAAAGAGAGTATTTTCAGCCATGTCAAAGGCCTGAGTAAACAATTAAGGTAAGGTATGCCGAAGGTCCTGTGATTCCAACAAAGTAGGGCATACCCAAGGCCCAATGATTCCAAATGGTCAAGCATACCCACGCCCCAGGAACGTCAACAAATCAGGAATGCCAAATGCCCGGTGAAGCCCTTTACGCCCACGAACATGTGGATTCATCAACAATTGTAATCCAATGAACAACGAATGATAATTAGGCTTGATACTGCAATAGCATCACATCGCATAAGGCGTGGGTGTTTATGTCCTACCCTAAATCTTGCTCATTAGTGTATTCACACAAAAGATATATTGACGCAATTTAAACAGTCCAATGAGGTAGCAATGTTTGCAGCGTTCGAGGGATATCTTGAACAGCCGTCATGTCGAATATGTTTTATTTCTATTTAAACGTTTGTGTTGGTTTCAATAAGTTTGATTCGACTTTTTCAATTTTAAAGTATGTGTAATGCGTGTATCGAATTGATTTTATGGAAAATGTTTTGATAATGGTTGCACTGACAAGATGACAAGGAAGTATTAATATCGTCTCTTTGTGACGGTCACATGTCTTACTAGGAACATTGAGCACTTCAAGGAGCCTGTTAGTGTTTACTGACTTTGGACAAGGAGATCCAGTTGTGAAAACAATTACATGATAATTAGGAACCATAATAATATATATATATATATATCTATATATACAATTTTGTTATATAAGGTCCAGGAGCAACAGTAACTTGCATGCGCATTGATTTAATGTTTACACACAATTACTATTTAAGTACAGGTACATATCACGGCTGAGAGAAAAATATATGATAATAAAATTCATTTATATCATAAGTATATTGGTATGAAAAGATTTCAAATTCCAATGACTTTATTTTATGTCAAGTATAAGTTTGCGAAGCCTTTTCCCAACTGAAACTTATCTCACCAGGAGCAGGGTTGAAGCCATGTTTACGTTATTATCATGCATAAGCGAGCTCACGAGATGTCACGAGATGTCACGAGAGCAGAATCCATTTGCGACTATGTGTTCGACATGGTCAGAGGTAAAGTTTACTCAATAAACGGGCTTCCATGTTATTTGTAAAGATATATTACGTCACTCGGTTTACAGAAGCAGCGTGCCAAATATTGACAAAAATTATCGTCATTTTAATGGGGCCAATTTGGGCATACGGGCCATTATGTGAATTATCGAATTCTTTTCGTCACGTAAGAAAATAAATTTCATTTTCTTTTTGTTTTATATCTTTTTCATGTTTCACATCCTGAGTAAGGTATTAACGGAAAGTTAATAACATTTGCTATGTAAGGAAAATAAGAAATGCAAGTTTTTTCCTGCTGATAAGAAAAAAGAGCGAAAGTAAGCGGCACGGTACCTTGTAAGTGGCTGTTTACCTGTAAATAATCGATTAACTGATAATATTTGTTCTATAAAAGATCTGATGCAATACCAATAGACCTCTTTTATATTCATCCATTTTCCAATATTCAATTCATATTTCGCGGTAGTCGAACAATAGGTGGACAATTTTCGGTCAATTTAGTGACATTTCCATATGAATGGCCTAACGGGCGAATATTGGTTGTGGTGCGGTGCGTATAATACATAAAAGGGTATGTCTTTCCGGACTGATTGAAAATACATAAGAGCAGGACGGGTTGTGATCGATCTGCATGATCAATCCGTGCTACTGCCGGACGGGAGTTAGCTAAATCTACAGGTCCTAATGCGTTAATGCTGTAACGCCATGGATGAAAATCCCCAGGAATGCTGGTGTTTCCGGTGTATTGCCACGCATCTAGAAGTGTATTTTTACAATTGATTTCATATATATTTCTATCTGCTATATATACAACATGTCTATATATATATACTACTTGTCAGTGACTGTAGTAAAATTTGCCTCGATATTACCTGTCAATAGCTATAACTTGTCCATAACTAAGGTAAAATCTACCATAGATACCACATGTTTATAGCTATAACTTGTCCATAACTA